GATAGGATTTGATTGATTAAGAGATTTGAATAAATTTAGGAAGGATTAGATTTGAATAAATTTAGGAAAGTCATATGGAAAGATTTATTCAATCCCTGATTGCGAGAGATTCTAGGGGTTTGCCTTTCCTATCTTTTCTTATTTAAGTTGTATGCTCAATATGTTTTTATCATCAATAAAGAAAATTTTCTCCTTTTCTCCCTCTATATTTCGCCACACATATCAACCAATCTGTTAACATGTTTGTCATATTAATCATTCTTTCAACCAATCTCTTTTCATATTGACTTGTGTTCTTTGCTTTATAGAGAATCAATTCTTCCATTTTCATCCAAAAAAATTCCATTAGTTGGAAGTTAAGATGTTTAGAAGTTTCTACAAGTCAGTGAAGTAGCTGTCACTAAAACAAAGGTGTGATAATCTATTTGGTTAGATATTGGGTGAACTTGTTTAAATGATATGTGTTCTTTTGAAGATCATCTTGGCTGTGTTCATTCAAATGAGTATGTACTATATAGTCCACTAGTACTATTGTTTGCAATTACCATGCCTTCGCTTGACTTAAGGTCCTTTTGTCAAGTAAGCCACCTTGTGCTTTTATTCTCACTCTTAAAACTCTTTTCTTTTGCAGCAGATATTGCAGAGACATTATCAAATGACATGCAGCAAGAAGGTCTTCGTGGTCGAACATTGACACTAAAATTGAAAACTGCAACCTATGAGGTACCTTTCTGATCTTCAAGTTCTTGTCCCCTCCGCCTAGTGACTTCTTTATGGTTTATACTTAATTTCTACACTGCTGCAGTTGAAGTTCCAGAGTTACTATAGAATTCATTAGGGAGTAATAAAATACCCTAGTGTAATTTTGGAAATATAACAAATTACATGTTAGTCTTTGTTAAGTTTCTCCTGAAAATTCTTATTAATTTCCATCAACATTATCTAATTATTCAGATGTTATCCCAGGTTCGCTGATAAATTTGCAATCCACAGGTTCGAACTAGAGCTGTGTCTTTGCAAAAATATATTTGCTCAAGTGAGGATATCTTAGATCAAGCTTTGAAGTTGCTAAAGTCTGAGCTTCCTCTTTCTTTGAGACTCATTGGTAGGGTAAACAACTTGCATTTTGGTGATCTATGTTTGTCATGCAATTGTTATCAAATTGGATATAGTTTGCTTAATTTTGTTGTATTTGCAGTATTTTACAATGGGTTAATGATTCAATGAACATCCTCGCATTTCCAAGTGTGAATTTTCTACTATGTTTATCAATCGTTGGCTTGATCAAGGTTCAAAATTTTGACATGATACACCACGTATTGGGGGTATTGTATCGTATATCTGTCTCCGATACCCCAAATAAGGGGTGTTTTGGATTTTGAGTGGTTTCAGGGGGTAGACATGCCTAAAACCGATCCCCTGAAGCAATTTAAAAAAAAAAAAACAAAAAAAGTTATTAAGCATCGAAGCACCTGATACGCCTGTTTGTGCATATTGGGTGTATCGATACTTTAAATCCTGGGCTTGATAATTTGGACAGCAAAATAATTTTGATTTTTATATTTTGGAGCCAATGGATGACAAATATGGTAAGGTACTTGTGGCTTATTTGATGAAAGCATATTTTATCTGATTATCACTCTTTAATAGGTACCCCCTTTAATAGGTACTTGTTCGATACAGTACCTAACAGGTAAAAAAATGCAAAGAACTTCCACTAAGAGTGCAGCACCCTTGGTTATTGCTAAGCTGCTAAACTGGAGTAATTAGTATCCAGGATGTCCATTATTTCCATTAGGATGTGACCAGAATAATCAATTTGAGAATGAATTGATGCTTCACTTTATGCTCATATTTATTTATTTATTATGCTGTCTGCCACGCGGTCCACGCCATTTTTCTTATGGAAAATGCCAACTTAATATGCTGTGTTTTATGCTTTAAACTTGGAACCTTAAGTGGAGGCACATTGCTGATCTGGTATTTGCTTAACTAATATAGATGTATTTCTGTTTGTTTTCTTATGGCACTTCAATTAGATAACTGACACACTCCTATACAAGCAATTATATGACCTTGTGACCTTGTATAGGTCTAGAGACTCCTAATCACTCTTCAGCTCAGATCTATAGATGGAATGACTTCAAAGTTTATTAAAACGATGATATTATGAGGGGCTCTCTTGAAATTTCAAGAACTTCCATCAGGAGAGAAATCCCTTTGCAAAGTTGGTTCCCTCTGTCTCAAAGAGCTATCAAATAAACTTTGATGGGTGCTCTTTGGAAATCAAGGATAGTGGGGGGCAGGTAGGGCCTTTTAGGATTAAGTAATGAAACTGCTATGAAGGCAGAGGTTTTAGCTTTACTGCGAAGATTGAGATTGATGTATACTGGATTTATGGAGGCTGGAAGTGCAAGGTTACTCACAGTTAGTTATTAGCTGGAAAAGTTGTGAGGAGGGATCTTGGTAGATGTGACGTCACATTAAAGATGCTATATCTCTTCTTATAATTACTTGATGAATCTTTTTTTTTGGAGTATAATGTTGGGATGGTCTTCCACAACTGAGGATGGGTCCTTTGATTGACCATGTTTTGTTTGTCTGTTTTCCTGATTGACTAAAAAACTTACCCTTGTTATTGATTTCATAGTTTGTGTACTGTGGCTTAGAATGGTTGTGATTTCCATGTCTTGACCATCCAAATTAAGATATGTATACAATGTGGCATATACAATATTTTGGTCAAGAGATGTTTTATTAATTTCCTTATTTATGGCATACTAATCCAATATGATGGAATCTGATTCTTTTTGGCAGGCCTGCGAATGTCTCATTTTGACAAACTTGGTCCTGCTGATCCAATGCAAAAGACTCTCACAAGTTTTGTTATCTCAAGGAATACTTGTGAAAAAGCTACAAGTTGTAGTAGATCCCTTGGTGCAGATGCCAGTGATAATTGTACCATGTGTGGGACTGAAACTGGTCTTTCAACTGATGACCATGAGATCCATCTCTTAGATCCAGGTTACGACTATAACTCCATGGAACCTTATCAGCTAAACCAATTATCATGTTCTGATGATGAGGGTTGTACACCAAGCAATGATGCTGGTGAAATGAAAAATCTTCATACACTGATGAGTAGTAAGTGCCCATCCAAGGTGTGTATTTGTGTTCTAATCTTAATTTATTAATAATTTTCAGTGATTATTGCACCTATTTGGTTGGTGGGATGTTTAAATCATTCCTAAACTGAACCAGTAACCCATGACTGAATTACATTGCTACTGTTGAAGTTTGACCTGCCATAGAATTCTGTCTTGTTCGTTGACTGTAGAGTAAAGTAGACAGCAAGAAGTAGGAGAGGAAAGAAGAAAAG